TTTGCCCATATACGACCTACTCTTTTAACGATTTCAAAACGCTCTAAAAATGTAAATTGCTGTTTCCACAGGATGAATCCATGTTAGATCAAAAGTGTACAACCACACCATGGTACTATGTCAATTTCAAGTCATTCTGATTTTGCTTTCCAAAATAAAAGCCTTTTTTAGTCCTGTTACGTGACTCAGCAAGATTGAGCAGTGACATGTACTTTACTGTGGCAAAACCAACAACTTATATAAGTCTTGTAGAAAGTTAAAAAAAGGGGGAAAAAAACATCAACTTATATGAAGACATGAAAACCTGCCCTGTCATGATTTGAATCCACTGTTGTGCCAAAAACATTTACCTAGCCAAGATGAGCTCTATAAACTCTCTATAGTCTGCTCTTGTTAGCCAATTTACTTTTTTATGTAGGAAAAGGTTTTTACTTTAGTGTTTATTTATTTATTATCATTAGTAATATTAATAGATGTATAGTGTATTGTGTATAGTGTACAACCAGAGTTGAAAGGGTAAAAAGACACCTGTCTGTTACTAAATACTGCTGGGATGCATGAATAATGAATAATAATCAAATGAACCTTTTAACATAAATGACATGGAGTACACAGTATTTGCATCCAAAATAAAGTATAGTTGCCATGAACCAAAGGTTCGCACAAGGAATGGACCCAAATCCCGACACAACACACCAGGGAACTTTTTACAAGAGTCTTTATTGAACCGTGAAGGCTACAGGGAAGTAAGGATCTGGGTAGGGATGGCAACGGGAACAATCACGATGGGAACTGGAGAGAGGGGCGGGGGAGACTGCAGCGATAAACGTAGGAACGAGAGAGAGGTGCAGGTCAGGCCGGGGGCAGCCAAGCAGGCAAGGAGGGGAGATAGATGTTTACAGAACAGAGGAATGAGAAGTCAACTCCAGGTGAGACCAATCACAGGAAGCCACACCCTTTGTACGCAGGGAAGACAACATTACATGAGGAAAACAGGTAAAACTATTTCCAAAAAGAGCTGCCTAGTTACCACCGAAGAGTGCATAACGAACTGGCGAGGAGTGGCAGGTTGCCCTGTTTTAAGAAACCCTCCTGCTGATTACTTGTAAAGGCCCAGCACTGTGAATCTGATTGCTAAACCAGCAGCGGGGAATCTGATAGACTAGCATTCCCATCCTGCTTCCCAATAATAATAATTCCCTACTGCAACTTCATCTGTCATAATTTTTTTTCTTGTTGCTAACCATCTTCTCTGCTGTTATGTTTTAGGTAAATACAGAGAAGGCAATGACAATAAAATAAGCCCAGCTCCCCACCTGACATGTGACAGTTTCCCAGATGCTGTTGAACACATCCTGCAGAATCTGCTTTGAGCATCAAATAAAAATAACCTTCCGGTTACATTTGCACAAGTAACACTGCTAATGTTTCAACAGTGGAGAGACTTAAGATTTGAAATTATTCTCCGCAGAACATCCTGATGAATCAAAAATAGTCATGCTATAGTAGTTTGACTCAAAGTACCAGTCACCAAAGTTTTATTGTATTAGGTTGTATACTTTTTGTTTTCAAATAATAAAAAAGAAAACAAATGATCAATGAACAAATATTTCCTCCATGTCAAAAAGAGTTTTTCAAAACTCCGCAGTGATTAAAATGTACACCGTTCCAACCTGCAGTAGCTTGTCACAAATATCCAAAGTATAGGAAACATTTTACGCAAATATATAGTCATTAGTGTAAATTATTAGTATAGTGCAGGATAAATTTGTAACAGTAAAAACAAGTTATCATCACTTTTATTGCGTTAGTATGACAGTCTTTGCATTCATGTTATGTGTACTAGCGTCAGACAGATTGGTACTCTCTCTCCCAGGCTGTGTATCTGTCCATCAGGTTTCGTGCTGAGGGTTTGGTGTGTTCAATCACATTCAGGAAATCAGCTGTTGTTACAGTTTCCAGTTGGATGGCGGGCATGTCTGTGTCATCTGTAAAAGAGAATCACAGTAAGTCAGAGAAGATGGCTGTTGTAGGGGTCAATCTTGACATTGTGTGTGTGTTGTCCTACCATCCTGATGCGACTCCAGAGCATCAAAGATCTTTCGAACTGGTCTCATGGTAGCTTCCTTACATGCCAATCTTATATCTGAGCCAGAGTAGCCCTCCATCTCCTGGAAATAAAACACACAAATGTACAGATGCACATGAGTGAACACATTTCCTTCCAGATAACATATATGATTTATGAAATTATATTAATTAAAGAAAAATTGTTAAGCATAACGATTAAACACTTGACAAACTCCATACACACTTTTGCCAGTGCTTCGTAGTCTAGCACAGTGCGTAGCTCCATCCCTCCTGTGCAGCTGAGAGGAGGCAGCCAATGAGAAATCATGGCTTGTCGAGCTTGTGAAGAGGGAAGACTCACTAGAATCCGCTTCTCTAACCTCCTCAGCATTGCGTGGTCCAGTTCCCTGAGAGATTTATTAGAAACAAACAAAGGCAGATTTAACTGTCATAATTTTATAGCTGTCTTAGTAGTCATCTTTTTTTATTTAAACAGCTATGACATCATAACATCATAATCTTGTGTTTGTCAAGAAAATGAAGGGTCTTTTTTCAAATGCATTCAATGCAAGAAAAATAAATGAATGTTAAAATCAGGCTGAGATGATGCTGGCAATAAATGTACGAGGAGGGTTGAAACAGCAAAAATAGTGAGTTGTATTTTTCTGTCT